TATTTTTAATAGTAGGGTGTGTTTAAACAAGAATGTACGCCATAATTTACGAGAATGCAAATAAGGATATGAAGTTAAAGAGAACAAAGTGTTCGTTTTTTATTTTGTTTGGCTCCAACTTTTGTGATCACACCTGTTCGAGTATCTGATCTTACTATTGAAAGTTATTCTCGTGTTTTTGTAAATTATGGATGTACGTTCTCGTTTAAACCTCCACCGTATATAAGTAATTTAAATAGTTTTGTTGAGACTTGAGTCACATCAATTATTTGTTTCCTCTTTTATATTATTTGTTCCCTTTTATATGTTGATCTTTTCCTTATTTAAGTAGCTTTGTTGTACACCTCCGATATATAAATATCGGTTCTGTAATTGGAATAAACATGGTTAAAACACTAAATTATATATGGTATCAGAGCGGGTCAACTAGACCTGCAAAGAAGAAAACGGCGGCGACATGGGGGACAAACTAGTCTCCAAAGATGATGCCACACACTTTGAATTCAACTCATCGTACTACCTGCATCCGTCCGATTATCCAAGACAAATGCAGGTGAATGACGTTCTTACGGACATCAACTATGGTGATTGGGCTCAGGAGATGATGAATTTCTTGTTCGCAAAGAACAAGATTGGCTTCGTTGTTGGAACAATCACAAAGCCGAAGGAGGATTTTATAGAATACATGCCATGGATGCTTTTTGACGCCATGATAAAGGGATGGCTCACGACGGCTATGGAAAAAGATATCAGATCTAGCGTGAAATACGCCAACACGGCTGCAGAAATATGGGCCGACCTCGAAGAGAGATTTGGGAAGGAAAGCGCACCACGTGCATATGAACTGAAGCAGTCCCTCACCACAACGCAACAGGATGGAACTTCCGTCTCAGCCTACTACACAAAATTACGAGGATTGTGGGACGAGATTCACTCAGTGTCACCAATGCCCCGCTGCTCGTGTGGAAAGTGCACATGTGACCTAGGAAAAAGGCTAAACGAAGCAAGAGAGAAGGAACGGCTTTATGAGTTTCTAATGGGACTTGATGGTGCCTTCTCTATCATCATAACACAGATCCTAGCATTGAAACCCACACCCTCATTGGGGACAACATATCACATCGTTGCGGAAGATGAGCAACAAAGGTCAATATCCACTGCTAGAAGAACAATAAACGAAGCTGCTGCCTTCCAAAGCTACACACAAAACCAGCGTGAGGGGCCGAGTGAACCGATCGTGCAACACAGCAAAGGTAGCGTGAAGGACGTGAAACGCAACAACAAAGAAGAACATGAACAGTGTAGTCACTATGGGATAAACGGGCACAACAAAGAAGGGTGCTTTAAAAGAATTCGTTACCCCAAATGGTGGCCCGACAAAGGAAAGAAAGAAAAAGGGCAACACAAAGCTGCCTGGGTTGAAACAGAGCAAAGTTCTGTGCCCGGTTTAACAAGCAAGCAGTATCAGAGGCTGCTCAAACACTTCTCTAGGATTAGAATGAAAGATGAAGTAGAAACGAACGCCAACATGACTGGTAAGAAAAGATAAAAATAAACCTTTGATCATCGATACTAGAGCTACGGAACACATAACTTGTGACAACAATCTATTGAACAACAGGGTGGATTGTAGTCATGAGGCACCCGTTATCATACCAAATGGAGAATTCATTCTCGTAAAGGGAAGAGGGAGTTGTGATTTACCAAATGGGATTAAGCTTGGAAATGTGTTGTATATTCCAAGATCTAAATGCAATCTTCTTTCAGTTAGTCGTCTTACCAATGAACTCAACTGTGCCGTAATTTTCTTTCCTGACTTTTGTGTTGCACAGGACGTACGCAGGAGGGACTTGATTGGCGTGGGTAAGTGCAGAAATGGTCTCTATCGAATGGACTCAGTGGCAAGCAACAGAAAGGCAATGTTGGCAGCACCAGATGTTACAACATGGCACAAGAGGTTGGGGCATGCTTCCGAGTCTAAGTTACGTCAAGTTAAGTTCTTAGGAGATTTTGTTCATAAGTTGAAAGACAATTTTTGTGATTCCTGTGTAAAGACTAAACATACGCGATTATCTTTTCCCAAAAGTTTTATTAAAACTATTGATTGCTTTGAGTTACTACATTGTGATATATGGGGAAGTTATCGTACTTCGTCCCTCACGGGGGCACGTTATTTCTTGACAATTGTAGATGACTTCAGTAGAGCCGTGTGGCTATTTCTTCTAAAACATAAGTATGAAGCAAGCAACAATTTAATTGGATTCTGCAACATGGTCAAAAATCAATTTGGGAAGAATGTCAAGAGAATAAGAAGTGATAACGGAGGTGAATTCACTTCCGGATCCATGGCTGATTTTTATGCCCGCGAAGGGATCATTCGAGAAACTTCTTGCCTACACACGCCACAACAAAACGTCGTGGTTGAAAGAAAGCATCGACACCTACTTGAGGTGGCTAGAGCCTTGAGGTTTGAAGACAAATTGCCAATAAAATTTTGGGGAGAATGTGTCTTGACAGCCACGTACTTTATAAACCGACTTCCCGCAAAAGTCATCAGTTTCAAAATTCCTTTTGAGATATTGTTCAAACAGAGACCTGAATACGAGCACATGAAGGTCTTTGGATGTTTGGTATATGCTAGAAACACTGAAACAAAGGGGGACAAGTTTGAGGTAAGGGGGAGACCGGGCATATTTGTTGGCTATCCGCAAGGGAAGAAGGGGTATCGAATTTATGATATTGACAGCAACAAGATGATAATATCAAGAGACGTGAAGTTTGTAGAGCACACATTTCCTTTTGCTTCAGTCAAAACTTGGCCTCAAAGTCGTGAAGACGAATTGCACTACTTCTTTGATGACGTGTCCTCAAGAAATTTGGACAGAGAAGAAAATGTTGAGGCGAGTTTTGACCAACAAGAAAATGTCGAAACTATGGAAAATGAAGCAAAAAGTGAAGAAACGAAACCAAATCTGAACGCGAGCAATGAAGGGACGGATGCCTCGGTTGAAGTCAGGTTGAGTCACATACCACTGGAAGAATGTGCCAACAATAATCAGACTATACACAGAGAAAGAAGAAGTAGATCACAACCAAAACGACTTCAAGATTTCGTTGTAAAATTGCCACCTTCGATAGACCATGCACAAACCCCAAGCAGTCAAGAGTCCTCCACGGTATATCCGCTTGCTAATTATATTTCCTATGATAAATTCACTGATGAACACAAATCTTTTATGTCGGCCATTAGTTCCAATGATGAGCCAAAGATTTTCAAACAGGCTATAAAATATGTCAAATGGGTCCAAGCAATGCAAAAAGAAATAAAGGCACTGGAGGAGAATGGGACATGGACGCTAGAGAACCTTCCAGAAGGAAAACGAGCCATTGATTCCAAATGGGTGTATAAAATTAAATATAAACCCAATGGCGACATTGAAAGATATAAGGCGCGGCTAGTGGCGAAAGGGTTCATACAGGTGGAGGATATAGATTTCCATGACACGTTTGCTCCGGTGGCCAAGCTTGTCACGATACGAAGCTTACTTACCATAACAACTAAAAAGGATTGGGTAATGCATGAACTCAACGTTAATAACGCTTTCCTACACGAAGATCTTGATGAAGAGGTCTACATGAAGATTCTAGAAGGCTTTGCAAGTAAAAGAGAGACACTAGTATGCCGGTTAAGAAAGTCTCTTTACGGGCTTCGTCAAGCATCACGGAACTGGTACCAGAAATTTACCGTGGCCTTAACGAGCCTCGACTTTCAACAAACTCATTCTGATACTTCGTTATTCATATACAGGAAAGGGGCATCCTTTATTGCAGCTCTCATTTACGTGGACGATGTCATCATTGTGGGAAATAACATGCAGAAAATAAATGAGACCAAGAAGTACCTCAATGAACAGTTCAGCATCAAAGACTTAGGACCGTTGAAGTATTTTCTAGGTATCGAAGGGCTCGAACCTCTGATGGCCTTGTTCTAAGTCAAAGAAAGTACACCCTGGACATACTAGAAGACAACGGGTTCCAAGGGTGCAGACCAAGTTCCTTTCCGATGGAACAAAATTTAAAATTGGACCAATGCGATGATAGCCCATGAATTGAAGAAGGATAGTATCGACGTTTGATAGGAAGGTTGTTGTACCTCCAAGCCACTAGACTGGATATAGCCTATGCTATCAACATGCTTAGCCAATTCGTTTCAGATCCCCGACAACGACACATGGAAGCTTCCGTAAGGGTCCTCCGTTACCTCAAGGCATCTCCAGGCCAAGGCATCCTCATACCAAAAGAAGGGGGGCTGAATTTAGTTGGCTATTGCGATGCAGACTAACTTGGTTGTGCCTACACTAGACGGTCATGAACCGGATATTTGCTCCTACTGGGAGGGGCACCAATTTCTTGGAAGACGAAGAAACAAACAGTTGTATCGCGTTCTTCAGCTGAAGCAGAATATCGAGCGATGGCAACTACGGTTAGCGAAATCTTGTGGGTACGTTGGCTGCTAAAGACACTACAGGTAGATCAAAATGAACCAACACCCCTCTTTTGTGACAATCAAGTAGCCAGACACATCGCCAACAATCCCGTCTTCCACGAGCGAACCAAACATGTTGAAATGGATTGTTTCTTTGTCCGTGAACGAGTTGAGTCTAAAGAAATACAGCCCCTATACGTTGATACAAAGCTACAAGTCGCAGACATCTTCACTAAAGCATTGGGAACACAACAACTTCGAAGTTTACTTGACAAGTTGGGCATTCGGGATCTACATGCTCCAACTTGAGGGAGAGTAAAGGAAACCGTTCAATCACCTCTTAATCAATTATTTGCTCCCTCTTTTATATTATTTGTTCCCTTTTATATGCTGATTTTTTCCTTATTTAGATAGCTTTGTTGTACACCTCCGATATATAAATATTGGTTCTGTCATTGGAATAAACATAGTTAAAACACTAAATTCTATACATACCATCTTTAATTTCAAGTACAGATAAAACTATTTTTTATTTATTTTGCCTAAAACACACATAATGCTATTGACTAACAAAGACGATGATAACAATGTTCATGCACACATGAAATGCATAATGCACCACGAACTTACATACAAGAAAGCCCTGCAAAAGAGGAAATTAATCATATATGAATTATGCTACCAAAGATTGTTGTTTGGGTTTGAAGATGATTTTCATAGGCTTTTCCTTCTGCAAAGTCACACCAAATTTGTCATTCATGTCAAGCTGTGAAGGATCGTCACCATTTGGAAGGACCCAATCAAACCCACGAATTAACGAAGCTAATATAAGTTCAACGCTCTTGACACCTAAGGGCAAACCGGGACACATTCTTCTCCCTGCACCGAATGGTGTGAACTCAAAGTTTTGACCTCTAAAATCTACCTTCGAGCCAAGGAATCTTTCAGGTTTGAATGATAGAGGGTCATCCCATATTTTAGGATCTCGACTTATTGCCCAAATGTTGACAAATACTTGCGCATCCTTTGGAACAGTGTAACCCATAACTTCACATGTTTCTTGAGCCCGGTGAGGAAGTAGGAAAGGCCCGGTTGGATGTATTCTTAGGGTTTCCTTGATACAAGCGTGTAGATAAGGTAATTCACTTAGTTGAGATTCAGTGATTTTGTCAAAATTCATTTCTTTCTTCATGACTTCGCTTTCTACCTTAGACAAGGCTTCTTTGTGTTTTAGTAGCTCGGCTATAGCCCATCCCACCGTTGAGGTCGTAGTATCGGTACCAGCTACGTATAATTCCTGAAAGTATAAAACAAGTTGGTTTAGAAACACAATAATTACAATAAAAGATTAGGAAATTGGAGATTAAATATTATGATCATCCAAATAATATCAAAAAGATTTCGTCTTTGGTAAATTTACCAATAGCTATAGTTATCGTAATCTTCAATTACTTCGACCATTTCCGAACACCTCAAAGATAAAATAAAATAAATAATATATTTGTTCATGAGTAGTGCAAATAAGTTCTTACAGTAGCAAGCTGATTGATTTGGACGTCTGAAAACCCTTGTTCAATCAATCGATCCAGTAAAGTATTTGCCTGATCCGATGACCATGCCGACGATCCGATTTGGGATCGTCGTTCCTTTATCATATGTTCCCAAAAACTAAACACGATCTTGATTTGTTTGAGGCCTCCCTTCTTTATTCCTTGAAGATCCAATCTTTGAAACATAGGAAAGAAATCACCGAAATCAGGTTTACCTCCATATTCCAGAATATTTTCAAGTGAATCTTTCAGCCCACCATGAGTCTCATGTTCATCTTTCAAATCAATGAAATCTTGGCCAAATATTATGCAACTCAAAGTGTTAAACAAAGTCGTGAAAACGAGTTCCCCGATGTCAACCACTTCTCCTTGCTTATTACGCAAGAACTCCAACATGTCACTTATCTTCTCCTCTCGAACCCTAGAGTGGGTCTCCATGGCTTTAGGTGAGAACAATTCAGTACGACAAACTGTTCGTAACGTTCTCCAAGTTTGGTCGCAGTCGGACCAAATGAGGGAGTAGGGTAGTATCGAACTTTGTCGGAATGTACTGGGCACGAAACGAGAAGAAAAGGAGCGATCTTGGAATTTGAGAATTTCCATGGCGGTCTCCGGAGAAGAGGCAACCACAAGAAGTTGGCTTCCAAGGCGGAGAGACATGAGAGGGCCATACTCTTTGGCGAAGTTGGTAATGGAGATGTGAGGTTTATCTCCGATCTGATGCAGGTTTCCGATGATCGGCAACGTTGGTGGACTTGGTGGGAGGTTTTTTATGGTCTTGGAAAATGTAAGTTTGATGAATAAAAGGGCGAAGAAGGACGTGAAAAGAAAGAATAGCAGCATATCGTTTTCTTTTAGAAAAGCTATGAGATCCATCGATCTTAATCTATAAAGGTATGATTTGTTTGTTTTCTGTTAATTTTTCTTCACAGAAAGGGCATATATATACATATATACACACACACAAACACCTGTACAATGACGAATTTAAAATGGTAGACTTAGGCGTGCCCCATTATACACCACTTGTTATCCAATTATTGTCAGATCAAATTCCATATCTCAACTATACATTGGGATTATACACGCAATCTTTAACAAGTTTTTAATTTATAAAATCTCATGTATACCATCATAATTTAATTTAAAAATGCATCTGTCTGTCTTTCTTCTCTCCTCATGCATGATGGTTGTGTTACAGGTGTGTAGTGAGGGCACTCCAAACATTGAGATGACATTTTTTAAGTAGGAAAATACGATGTTGAACATCTAATACATAAGCATCGGCTTAGAAGTTGCATTAATTGTCTCCTTCTTCTGAATTTAATATACTCTTAAATCTCAATTATCTACCGGATATCCAACTTGCTATGCGAACCGATTAATCCCAGAATGATCACCTGTTTTATAAATAGTCCGGAGTCACTGCATTTGAACTTCCGTAGCCACAAAAGAATTTTTATTCTTTTTTGGATTTGAACCTGAGACCTTTTGGTATTTTTTACTTACTCATATCAAAAAATTTATTTTTCTTCCTTTTATAAATGCCAATTTTTCTAAAATAAACACGTTGTTTTGTTTAATACAAACAAAATTTTACGATAAATTTCATGTATTTATAGAGGGTTTTTTATTTATTTAAATGGTTATCTACATACATCTTGTATTTGTTTCTATAAACATAGTCATAGTTGAGTTATTTAAGTCACTCATGATTTTTTACAATTATTTTTAAGACAAATATTTAATTAAAAAACATATATCTACTATATTATAAAGCATTTGACAAAAACTCTTAAAAACCACTTTTTATGTGTAAAGTACTGTTTATTAATGTATATTACTTAAAACTCAAGATTGCAAGTAGATCGTACGTAAGTACAACTTATTAAATCTTCATATCTAAATTCGTATAACTAACTACAGATAAACATAATCAAATACAAGATAAACATCTCATTTTAAATATAAAAAATCTGAATATAATTAAGATAATTATTGAGTTCTAACTATAATACATAATTATTATCTTTATAAAAATATTATATTATTAAACTAAAAATAAATTATTTCATTGTTAAACTTAAATTAAATTAGAATAAAAATAAATTAAAGAAATTACATAAAAAAATGAGAAGTTTTAGATAGTTGATTTGATACTAACATTGATATATATATATATATATTTAAATTTTTTATGATATCTTTAAATTTATATTTTATTCAAAAATAAAATAATTATTGCTTTCTTAAAACACATAAAATCGTATTATAACATCGACAGAGACAAAGAATAAAATAAAACATTAAAATCGATATGTATCTCGCTGCATTACGCAAGTACCCTTCTAGTATACTTAAAAAAGAGCTTTCTCAAACTCGAAATCGTTTTTAAGTTGTATCTTATATTCTCTAGATAAGTTATATCTTCATAACATAAATACTAAAACTCATATTAATATATTTTGAAATAAAACTAATAAAAATAAGTATTCAAAATGAAAATTCTTAATAAAATATATATTTTTATTTTAATATATGGTTTTCTTCTTTTCCCTGGTTTTCTTGATCATCTTGCATTGGCTGCTTCAAATGAGTTATGTTGCGGAAGCCCATGTGTATGAAGTCTCGGTCCCCTATTCAAACCTTTATTATTGAACGTTGAAAGTCTGTAGCCTGTCGAATGTTGAAACAAAATATTATTAATTATATATTATTGTTATTTAATTATTAGAGGGAAATTACAAATTTAGACTTTATGGTTTTTGATTTTAACATTTCTGGTTCCTATTTTGAAATCTATATATATATTAAAGAAGAAACCAAAGATAATAAGGTGACACCTTCTAATGCTTAGAACCTCTCCTATCTTTTTTCGCATTTTTTTTATTTTTTAAATGTTGAATATGTTAAAGACTTTTTTGCCCCTAGATGAAAAATGTATAGCTCATAATTAACCCAGGTTATTTTTGTAATTTTGTATACCCAAGTATAACCTTCAACTCTTGATATGCTCTTTCATTTACTTTCTTTTATTTCTTAATGAAATTTGTTTTTCAAAGTTTCAATAATAAACAAAATGAAATCATATAAAATCCTTTGGTGAGTGATGAAGAAGGTGAGAGTTGAAGAAGAATTCAAAGATTTTAAAAGGTATGTAGAAATTATATTCATTAAAAAATGTGATTTGTTATTACATATTTCTTTTTCAATATTGTTGGATGTGTTATTATCATAAGATATAATTGTGTTTTCGATTGGATCATATAAATTGTGTTTACGATTTGATCATATAAATTCGAATAAAAATTTGATATTTTATAATCACATGATATGATAATTTTTTTTCAAATTTAAGTTTCATTAACAATAACTATTTATACGTGATTTATAATTACGTTAAATTTTGACTCCTTCAAATTTTTTTCAATTAATATAAATCCTTTGGTGAGTAATGAAGAAATAAAAGTTGAAGAAAACTTAAAAGCTTTTAAAAGGTGTGTAAAAATTATATTATTTACAAAATGTGATTTGTTATTACATATTTTTTATTTTCAATATTGTTGGATTTGTTGTTATCGTAAGACATGATTGTGTTTACGATTGGATTATATAAATTCGAATAAAGTTTTGATATTTTATGATTACAAGATATTATAAAAAAAGAATTTGAACTCCGTTCACAATAATTGTTTATACGTGATTGATAATCATCAATATATATATATATATATATATATATGAGAAACCAAATACAGTAGGTGTCTTTCTCTAAATATTAGAAACTTATCTTTCTTTTTTCCTAAATTTTTTATTTCTTTAAAATATTTGATATATAAAAGACTTTTCCATCCCTATTTTAAAACATGAAATTCATTAAAATAGTGTTGTTTTGGTAATCTTAAAAAGCTTAACCTCCAATTTTTTCCTCTTCATTTTTGGAGATGAAACTTCTAAACACTTTCATGTGCTCCTCCATGATTTGTCAATTCATTTTTGGAGATGAAACTTCTAAACACTTTCATGTGTTCCTCCATGATTTGTCAATGTTTTAATAATATTAAATAAGTTATATTATTATACCCCTAAATGATAAATATGTATTCCATTATAAGAAGACTTTTATGACCACTTCCAACTTAATTAGTTTTAACTTTCACATTACATAATTTCATAGGGATATTAATTATACTATTTTCATTTACTAATTAAAATAAACTTACAATAAATGTTGTGGCACATTGTCAATATGATTTTCTCAAGAGATTTTTTCATTGTTTTTAATTTATGAAATGTTAAATAAGTTAAATACTTTTTTACCCATGATTGAAAAATGTGTATTTCATTATTTTCTCCAAAATGAAAACAAAATTTTCCAAGCCAGATATGTCCTTAATTGAGCATTTGGCATCATTATTTTATATAAATCTAAAAATAAAATATGAAGTTTCTTATGTGATACTTTGTGGAAAAGTTATTTCATAATTCATTTTTTTTTCAAATTTTTGGATTTATTTTGGATTTATTTTGTTGATTATATTAATTATCTTTCATTAATTCATAAATATTCTAGACTTTTCGTTTTCTATTCTGTTTTTTATCTATCTATATATTTCATAATTTATTTATTTTTATTAATTTTTAGATTTATTTTGTTGGTTATATTAATTATCTTTAATAACTCATAAATGTTCTAGATCTTTCGTTTTCTATTCCATTTTTTATCTCATCTATATATTATATCTCATTCAATATTTTTAAAAGCAAATAAATACACTTACAAATACCACATGAATATCACATTTTATTTGTTTTCAAATAAATAAATACA